TTTATGTTTTGTGTTGTTGTGTCCGGTTTCGTTGTGTTGTAACCTTATTTCCTTATTAATAAAAGTTTGTTTTGTGTTTTCACAGTTTTTCCTACTAGTTCCGATATCACTCAATTCTTATGGCTCCTACCAATATAGAATAATCATCAATTCTAAGAGGAATAAAAATTATCTAACCTTATCTTTTAATCTATATAAGAACCTATCAAATTTCTCTTCTCCATTTGGAATTAGTTACAATGCATATCTCAAAAGCATAGTTAACTCAGTTTCATAGTGCATGATTGAGCAATCACCTTGCAGCAATCTAATAAACTTTTCATGCATTTGTCTTCTAGTTGAAAGTGATACATCAAGGGATTGTTTTGTCGGTTGCAAAAAGAGTGCACTACATTTCTTTTGCAGGGGTTTTGAAATGAGGACATTTGGTTGAAAGAATTCCAAATGCAGTGTAAAATTACAATGCATTAGGAATTCATTCCTTAGTTTCTTTTCAATTTATTTGGAATTCGTTGGATTGTGTGAATTTCAAATGCATAGTTTTATGTCAAGTGTCGCCGGCCGTCGTCAATTCCATGCCACCACCGCCACCAATCATCCGCCTGCATGCCCGTTATCAAGCTCATTTTTTACATTGCTTTAATTTTATTTTAAACTAAATAAGAAAATATGAAGTCCTTTGTTTATTTTACCCTAAATCAATAGCTCCAAAGTATTTTAAATACAATACATTACTTCTACACTGCATTTCTTTTACACTACATTACTTTTCCAGCAAACCAAATAGCTCCTAAATGTCTTCACAATCTTTAACCATACCAGGTTAGTAATACCATATATTCTTAATTTTGATCTTCATTTTTAGGTTGGATTGATTTTTGTTTTTTATTCCCTAATTAACTTTAGACATGGCTACTTTGTTTTTGTTAGGTATTGTTTTTCCCTTAGTTGCATATCGAATGGCTATTATATATGTGTTGTTATCATGAAGCACTTACTATTTCTAGCATATTTGTTAGTATATGATGCATCATCTTCTTTCTCATTCCAAATTTTGGATGCATGTGCACGGCAAATTTTATGGTTGTGTGTTTACTTTTGACCATTATCACTATTTTCATTGAGCTGTTATGTGGCTCAAAGATTTGTTCGCAGACCACTTTCATTTTCTTGTCCAAAGGGACTTTAATGGCAATGATGAAATTTAGTCCACCGCCAATGATTGAATCAATGCTCTGATCATGCTGATGGCATCAAAATCACTTAGCAATTGCATTAGCCTCCTCCTTTCTATGATAATTCAATTGACTGTTGTGCTTCAACTTTACACAATCGTTAACAAGAAAAAAATATACATTTATATTTGGGCCAAAGATCGACGGGGAGAGCTGAAATCTTATGTTGGATCAAAGATAAACAACAGAGGAGTGGTCTTCAAACTTGGTTGGGCAAAATATCAATGATGCAAGTTCTTCAATTTGGTCCGACTAAAATCAACAACTCTTCAATAGTTTATCTATATAATTTTAGCTTTTTCTGAGTTTTCTTTTTTTGTACAATTTCAATTATCTGTCTTATTATTGGTTAATAGAATGGTAAAGACAACTAATTATCATACCGAGCAAGTCTGTTTGAAGCTATCCATTTATTGAGAGGTTTGATGAAAAAATTATAGAGCAATATGATTTTTGTAGATTTAGAAAAAACTTATGATAAAGTTCCATGTGAAGTATTTTGGAGAGTTCTAGAAAAGAACGGTATTCATATTGTTTTTGTTCAAGTCTTTAAAGATGTGTATACTATAGTTGTTACTCGTGTTTGAAGACAAGGATGATTGACCAAGTATTTTCCTATTTCAGTTGGATTACATCGAGGATTGGCTTTAAGCCCATATCCTTTTGCTTTTCTTATGGATGTTATTATTAGATATTTACAGGAGGATTTATCTTGGTGTATGATATTCGTTGATGATATCCTTCTTGTGAATAAAACTAGTGAGTTTAGGAAAATTTTGATTTATGGAAATCAACTTAAGAGTCTAAAGGTTTTCGTTTGAGTAGCTCTAAAAGTAAATATGTGGAATGTAATTTAGTAATAGTAGATCTAGTGGTGGGGTTGTAATAATGGGTGATCCAACCATTAAAAGGAGTGAACGTTTTAGATATCTTGGGCTTATTGCTCAAAGTGATGGTGATATGGATGGCGATGTTATTAGTAGAATTCAAGTTGGATGGTTGAAGTGGAGGAATACAATGGGTTTATTGTATGATAGAAAAATACCACTTAGACTTAAAGGAAAATTTTATGATATGATTGTGAGATCTGTAGTGCTTTATGGAGTAGAATGTTAGCCTATAAACGAGAAGCATAAAATTAAGTATTGTATTGCTAAGATGAGAATGCTCAGGTGGATGAATGGTTTTACTCTTAAAGATAAAATGTGAAACTAATATATCCCTAGAAGTGTTGGAGTAGCTCTAGTGCCAGACAAGATTAGAGAGGGTCACCTTAAATGGTTTGGTCATATTAAACATCGACCATCTGATGACCCTTTATGAGAGTAGATGTTTTAGATTTGACTTATACTAAGAAAGGTAGAGGTAGACCTAAAAAAACTTGGCATGTTGTCTAAAAATGATCTTAATATATTAGAATTAAATGAAAATATGACCTCAATAATACACAATGGAGAAAAAGGATTCATGTAGCTAAACTCCACTTAGTGGGATAAAGGTTTGTTGTCGTTGTTGTTGTTGTGCGGCTTTATAAATCAATATACTTATTAACTTCGAACCTCAAGCAATTATGATGTGTCATTCAATATTAAGTTGAGTCACTTCAAATTTTTAGTCATTTGTAGTCCTTAACAAGAAAGAAATCACTCCTGTCAAACCAATAATCGATGACAGAGGATTGGCCTTCCAACTCGATCAAACCAAATATCAATGATGTAGGATCTTCTGTTTATGTGTACAAAAGATTAGTGAATTTTAATCGTTCATTTATGTTTTGTTAGCATTTTTCAAAGATTAACTTTTATTCCTCTTTATATTTTATTTTATTTTTATCTTCTCCTTTAGCGGCCAGGCAAACAAATTATAACATCTAACCCTCTCCTAATGAGCAATTTAAAGACTGAATACAATAACAAGCATAGGACCGTAAGACTCTATGATGATAACCATCCAAAATTTAAGAGCCTATAAAAAATTTCAACTATAAATAGTCATTGGTGGAAAAATAATGGAAGGATGAAAAGGCTTGCATTCAACCAATGATCGATGAAATAATGGTGGTTTGTAAATTAGTTGGAGTAAAAGTTGACTAGGCAAATTTTAATTTAACCTTATTAAATCTACACAGCCTTACAATCAGTTGCATGTGTTTTTGTGCAGAAGATTTGTTAAGCAATGGTAGGAGAAAGTCAAAATTGTACATATGTTTGTGAATGAGGGATTTGGTGATGCAAGGTATTTGAGTGTTGGGTTATCGAACTCAAGGAGGCTTAGTTTAACTCCATTGAACAAGAATTATTTAATCTCCATCTCTCAATGTACAGAGAATTCTAGTATTGAAAAGTTAAGGCATAAGAGTGGGCTTATTTTGGCACTGGAGCGGGAGACAAAAATATATAGAAAAGCGAGTGGAGGTAGGAAGTGGTAAGAGCTAGCAGATCAGCTAGTGAGAAAGAGTTGAGGTTCTCAACCGACTTCTTGGGAGAAAAGCTGTGAATGAGAGACTGGAGGAGAGCATGTCATTGAGTGGGGAAGATCACAAAAATGATGTTGGACTGGGAAGGCTAGGGTACGTCTAGATGTCTTTATGCTCAATGGACATTTTGTAGCTGCTACTGAAGCAAAGGTGCAGGTGTGCATGCTACGGGAAGAGAGAGAGAGAGAGAGAGATGCAATTTATTCTATATTATTGTTTTTGGTCACTTCTTTTTGTGGTAAAGATGGTGAGGATAATAAGATTTTATTTTAGAATGTATACATATCAATAACAAAAGATATAAATGTTATTTTTATTAGTTATTAAATGAGAATTTTGAGGAAGATATATTTAAAAAAAAAACGTAATGATGAAAATAATGAGTTTTACTATAAATTTAAAAAAAAAAAGTGGACTTAGCTCTGAAATGATGCATAAATGTAAAGTTTTACGCCTAGATATATCTATTGAGATTTATCAATGATTGTGTGATGATTTGGTTAACAAATCAAATAGTTTTTAATCAAGTCCATACATTGCTACTTCAGAAATGTTACTTATAGTACTTATTAAATGTGAAGTTCAAGGAGGAAATTTTTTTGAACATACTGAACAAAATAATAAAATATATTATAAATTGATTCAAGCAAGCGGGCTTAGCTCTGGAAAGATGCATAAAGGTAAAACTGTATGCCTTAATGTGAGATTTGTGGACTTGTTGACGATAGTGTAGTGGTTTGGTTAACAATTCAAACAGGTTTTATTCATGGCCATTAATTGTTAACTCTTATCATATGTATGAGTGTAATATGCAGCAATGTTTTGGTCATGCAGGACTTTTTTGGAGTAGAAATTTCCTAAGCGTGGTTTTCTTGAATGTTTACATCTCAATCTTCTGCATGTGCTTTCAATAGAGCTAGCATTCTCACGTTTATTTTCAAGATACGTTTCTTACATTGGGTCCTTGGTTTTGTTCAATTTACAGGATAATTGTAAATATTGCTCTTTTGAAATATCTACTTTCCATTTGGACTTTTTATTTTGGAAACATCTTTTGAATTTTTGTTCAAACAATTATTTCTTTATCTATTTATTATTCATTTTCACTTCATTCGCTACTTTTTTCTAGTGATATTTCTTTTTCCTGTCCCTTTTGACATAATTTCAAACTTTTATCAGCTTGTTCTCATTCAATTATCGCTTTTGATCCATTTATAAAGTTTGATGATTGCTCTCACACAAGGAATCAAATCTTCATTAGCTTTCTGAAGTTAACTTTTTTCGTACAGATGATACTTCCACAATATATTAGTAAAGATTGGCTGGAAAATTCTTTTGATGGCTGGGTGCAGAGATGTCGCATTGCTCCTAGTGCAGAATCCATTGAAAATCTAACTGAGGTATTTTCTTAATTTAAAATTTGATGATTCATTTGTTCTCAATTATTTCTCATAAAACGGATGTTAATGTCATTTATGTACTTTTTTATTTTCTTAGTCATTTTTAAAGTGTTGATGGACAATACAAACTTAAGAGAGCGATTGAAATTCATCAATACCTTGTGCCATCTACTTGATTTTTATTAAAATTTATGGTGACACTTGTAACCATTCTGTGGCTCATATTCCTCCTTATATCCTTAGCTGGCTTTACTATGTGTTATATGCATATTCTATAGATGTCTTTATAAGTCTTGATAATTTACTCAACAAAAAAAAATTCTAATTTACAATGTCCACAACTTGTCCATCAGCCAATTGTTAATATTTATTAATTATTGTAGGTTAATCATAATTATTATTCAAAAGTCTTATAAGCAACCCAAGTCTCTCTTCAGCAGCTGGCTAGGCCAGTTTGAATTAGCTTTCTGGTGAAACTATGGTGGCTTCAGTAGGCAGATAATCCTTCAATAATGTCCAAAGGGCATCCAGTAGCAGTTGAAGCGCATCGTTGATGTTTACTTTTGGAGATGAAAATTGAAGGTTCAAATTTATTGGAATATGCCTGGAGTGAATGGAAGTTAACAGATTTTTTGAAAAATTTTCTTAATTTGAGTGTCATATAACAAATCATATTGCAGCTGTATTGAACGAAAAGTCTCCTAAAAATGATAAATATTATCTATTTAATATCAGGTAAAATAATGTTCTTCAAAGTTGATTCTGGTTCTGTGTACTGGTGATCATTGAGATGATATTTGTGTTCTATGTTGTGTCACTCTCCTGGTCTTTTAGGGGCGAATCACTTCTGTTGCCTTGTGTTTTACTTCAAACTTGTTATTTTTAGTTTACACAATCGTATAGAATGGCCAAAGCCATCCCTTTTGAGAAACCATTTCAATCAGATATTTTGCATGGTTATGAGTACTCTGTCTATTCTATATTTATTTCTCTTTTCTTTATTCCGTCTTTTCACTTCAGATATTTTCTATTTTTTTTAATTTAAATTTCCCATGGGAACCAGGAAATAGTGGAGTCTGTTCTATGGAGTAAGGTGGATGAGCTTTGGAATGCACCTGTGCAGCCTGAGTTAGGTCCTGAATGGAAAACATGGAAACAAGAAGCAATGAAATGGTTTTTTGCTTCACATGTACGAGCTAGTGTTCAGGATTTTGAACATAATACTTCTGAATTTCTAGTAAAGGAGGAACCACAAACTAGTCGAAAACGTGTAAAGCTTGAAATTCGCCGGCCAGAAACCTCTGCTTATAAATTAGAAGTCCCTGATTGTGAAAGGCAATCTCACATAAAACGCCCGGATTATAATTGTGGACATGAAATTTCTGAAAACGTTTCTGAATTGCCTTTAAACTGTGAACCTAATAAAATGGTGGCACTACCTGCAATAGATGCAGTAACAGGTTCTGGCTACATGGTTGATGGAGGGAATGAGTCTGCAATTAAAGGCAGAGGTGCAGGCTGTCAAAGTACGGTTAGCACATCTACAGACGGAGCATGTTGCAAGGAATTAATGCTTCATGCCCTTGGTCAATCTGACTCCTCAAATAGGTATCGACAATGCCTAGCTTTCATAGAAGCTAAGGGAAGGCAATGTGGAAGGTGGGCAAATGATGGTGATATATACTGCTGTGTGCACTTGACTTTTCATTCTGCTAGAAAGTACCCTCATATTGATCAAATGTTTCCTGTTGAAGCTCCAATGTGCCAGGGTACTACTACACGTGGTAATAAATGTAAACATAGAGCTCGATACAACTCAACATTCTGCAAGAAACATTGGTTTCAGGGAAATCAGTCCTCAGTTGCAGCCGATTCTCTTTTGTTAGCAACTGATGAAATGTACCAAAGGAAGCAACGAGAAGGGCAAGTTCCAGAAAATCTCTCTAGCTCAAATGCAATTAGTGGCCCTGAACTGAGTTTGGTAAGAGAAGCTGCAAGTTCCGCAGAGGAAAACCTGATTCCCATCATGATAGAAGAAAGCTTGGATGAAAGAAACTGCTTAATGAAACAATCAGAACTTTGTGACGCACTGCCTATTGGTATAGGAATTTGTTCAGAGATTCAACACTGTGTTGGACATTATAGCCACAGCAATGTTGGCCAGTGCCAAGAATTTCCGAGGAGGCACACTATGTACTGTGAGAAGCACCTTCCTAGATTTCTTAAGCGTGCAAGGAATGGTAAAAGTCGGCTAATATCTAAAGATATTTTTATTAATCTTGTCAAAAATTGCTCCTCATGGAAACAAAAGTTGTGTCTTCATCAAGCTTGTGAACTTCTTTATGGATTCTTGAAAAATGGCTTATCCTCTCAAAAGTTTGTTTCAAGGGGTGACAATTTGAAATGGATATTAGCTGAGGCCTCTAAAGATGTAAATGTTGGAGACTACTTACTTAAGGTGGTTACCTGTGAAAGAGAAAAAATTATGGGGCTGTGGGGTCTTAATTGTGATTTAGATAAGCATGCCTTCTCTAAAGAAATCAACTCCTTACTTACAATGAACCAAAATTCTCACATGACTCTGAAATGCAGTATATGTTCTGAAATGTTTTCTGATGATCATATGCTTATTAGACACTGGACTGAAGTCCACAAAAAAGAAGCTCGGAGGTTGTTCAAAGGATATGCTTGTGCAGTATGCATGAACTTGTTCACTAACCGAAACGTACTAGAGACGCATGTGATTGAGAAACATGGAGTGCAATTTCTTGAGCATTCGATAGTAGTCAGGTGTGTATCTTGCAACAAACAATTTGCAAGTCATGAAAAACTGTGGCAGCATGTTTTCTCGTTCCATTTAACTGAATTAAGGTTACCAGATTTTAATCCAAGCAATTGTGGTCAATCAGAAGATAAAGCAGATCAGGCAATAATGGGAACCACAATTAAGCTATGTCAAAACAAGAGTGCCTTTGATAAAGATGATTCACAAAAATATGTTTGCCGGTTTTGTGGGTTAAAACTTGATCGCCTTCCAGACCTTGGTCGTCACCATCAAATTGCTCATACTATACCACACTCTGCTAGCCATTTCTCATCGAAGAGATCTTATTTTTTCAAACGCAGCAAATCTAGCCATTCTCGATTCTGGAAAAATGTTGGATCGGCATTCAGATTCAAGAATCAGAGTAACCGTGCGATGCTAGAACACTTTCAGTCTTCTAGGTTGGTATCCCAAGTGAAGCCAAAATTGTATAAGCAGCCATCAGAAGTGGTTGGCTTTGGAGGATTATCAGAATCTAATTGCTGCAATGTTGCAGAGACATTGTTTTCTATAATACAAAGAACAAAACAACGACCTAGTAATATAGAGATCCTATCTTTTGCACGCTCTGCTTGTTGCCGGACCAGTCTTGATGCTGCGCTAGTTGAGTATGGAGTATTGCCTGAGAATATTTATTTAAAAGCTGCAAAACTTTGCAGTGAGCTGAATATTCAAGTAGGTTGGCACCAGGAGGGATTTATTTGTCCAAGAGGATGTAAGCCTGTCACAAAACCTTATTTATTAGCTCCTCTAAAGTCTCTCCCATCCATGGTCATTGAAACTTCTAAAATAGAGTCCGTGAATGATGCCAAGTGGGAGATAGATGAATGCCACTATATTCTAAATGCAGAGCATTTTGATTGGAAACAAAGGCGAGATTCCATAGTTCTATGCAAAGATGTGAGCTTTGGGAAGGAAACAATTCCAGTGACTTGTGTGGTAGATGAGGATCTAAAGTATTTGCTTGCAACTGATGTTAGTGATGATTCTTGTACCCAAAATCCTTGGTTATCTATGCCTTGGCTAGGCTATACGTATGCCACTGAACGATTGATAGATCCGTCGCTTGGCCTTGATTCTAAGGTAAGTAATGTACCATTTTTTTCTTTTTGTTTACATAGTAGTCTCTATTTTAAATTTGGTTTGTGAGGAGGAAGTGAAGCATATGCTGGATTATGGTTTTTTCTTCCTTTTTGGTTGCTTTTGATGAGGTTGATTTTTTTTTTTTAAGGATGTCTATTTTTGGTCTTCATGCATCTTTGCCTTTGTTGGTCTTCATCCATCTTTGTATAAATTGTTCTCCTCATTTTCCTTATGCAGAGTTCACAACTGGGGTGCGCTTGTCCACAGCAGAAGTGTTATCCTGAAAGTTGTGATCATGTCTACCTCTTTGATAATGATTATGATGATGCTGTTGACATTCATGGTAAATTAATGCAAGGAAGATTCCCGTATGATGACCAAGGAAGAATTCTGCTAGAGGTACCGTAAGATTTATTTAGATTAATATTTTTTATTTTATGATACATTAATAGCATTTCTACATGACTCGCCTTCTGCATAGAAGTGTCATGATCAGCATAATGCAATTACTATCATGAAAAGCTCTTTGGGCTTGATATGAGTTCGACTCCTTTTTGTTGGATTGTTTAAATGATGTAAATTTGATGGATAGTTGTGCTTTTAATCTTTTTGGTAAAGTCTCATATGGAAGTCCGGGCAGCGGCACACACCATTATGGAGGTTTCTGGATACTGTTACCATCTCATGAGGGAACATGAAGAGTATGGAACTTACGGCTATGAGCAGGAGATGAAGTAGGTAGTGACTCTAAAAAAATGTCTCCACATTAGGATGTAGGAATAGATTATGTAATCCTTTGCTTTTCATATTTTCTTTATTTTATTTAAGTTATAGTATTTTTGGCTGTTGTGGATCTTACTCTGGAATTGATCGGTCAAGTAGGCGTCAATTGTTATATTTAATTTGTTTCAAATTATTGAATTGTGTTTAATGAAATAAACATTAACTCCAAAATATTTTTTATTGTTGGTTTTTTTTTGTCACTTTTATCATAGCTGTGACCAGCAATAAAATGTACGGAAGAGAGTTTGGATCATTCGCTAGCTACATGTTTGTTCCATGTAAGGTTTGATATTTTGCTGATAATGAAACATTAGCCTTGAAAAGTTGCGCACTTGCAAAGTTGGGCTAAGCCCTATGTGTAGCGAGCATACAACTTAAGATCTCATATCGTCCTGACCAGCATGGTAGAGCCCTTAGAAGGTGTCTTCTGGAAGCTCCTTGAGAAGTTTTCACGAACTTGTTAGGGAGAACTACCTGCCCAAAGCCATACACTTGTCTTACTAGGGAGAACTTCAACTATAGTAGTTGTGGCGTGCTCACTCAGGATCACCTTTAACCTAATGACACTCTTCTTGCTTACTTTCTCACTTGCTTGGGAACACGTGGAAGACAAGAAGGCACTTGGATATGTAAGCATTAATGGTTAAATCTGAAATTAATTGTCATGTCATTGCATTTATTTTTGTTAGCCGCTTAATTTTATAGAATTGAAGTATAATTTTTTTTGCCACTGCCCACTCAACCCAATGGGATTCAAGCCACGTCATCCTCCAAGTTCAACCAGAATCAAAAGCTGCGTCCATGATGAAATAACAATTATCACAGACGACAAAACCCGTTCCCTATAAATGTCTCCTCATTTGGGACAAAAAATCTCTTCCAAATCTCTCCTCATTTTGGACTAAAAACCTTTTCTAAATCTCCCTCTCCCTCCCTCCCTCCCTACCTCTCTCTCTCTCTCTCTCTCTGATTTAAGGAGGATCTCGGGCACTCTGATACAAATCTAAGGCGCAGCTGAAAGCTTGGCCATGCTTGTCCACTACCAACACTGCTCAAACATTTTTTCTTTCCGGTTCTTTTTTCTAGAATCTATTGCAGCTCAAATAAGAGTTTTTTTTCTCACTATAGTACTTCCTATGATAATTCTTCTCATTATTCTCAAGGTGAGTTCAACTCTGTAATGTTCCAACCTGTGAATCTTCATAAGATTCTAATAAATCTTCTCGACTATAATGGATGGTCATTTGATCGAACCACGCAAGCTCTCTATGCTTGTGCATGCTTTCTTTTTTTTCTTTTCTTTCTTTCTTTCTCTCTACCTCCTTATTGAGTAACATTTCTAGGAAAAATGGGCTTTTTTATTTATCTTATAAACTTTCAACATTTTTTCTCTCTATCTGTGTGTCTGTCTGTCTCTTACCCTCTCTGGTTGGAATCTTGGTTTGATGAGTAAATGCTATCAACATCCTTGGTGTCGTAGGTTGGAAAGTTTATCATCATTGTACTTCCTGTTGAAAAGAACCATGGCAAAATACCAGCAGCACTACTGTAGTTCTGACCTCAAGGCTCATCATGACTCTCCTCCCAACCTGAGAATCTATTTAGCAACAGCTCTTTTGATCACATGCGGCATCTTGACACAACTCGATGATCTTCACAAACCAGTCAGAGAGCCCTCAGATTTAGTCAAAACTTTCCTTCACCAACAACTCGTGGCAATTGTCCTACTTATTTTGTCTCTGCATCGGTGGAAAATTTTTTTTGTTAGTGCCACCCAATCTTTTCTAGCTTGCTAGAATGTCTAAAAGTCCTTTTATCCTAGAAACTCTTGACGAGGTGCTCCCAATGAAGTTCAAAACTCCTCATCTAGAGGTGTATGAGGGGACCCAAGATCTCTTAAATCATCTTGATAGATTGAAGAATATCTTGTTTTGGTACAGCGTATCCAATGTGCTTAAGCAGTAGTAAGGCAAGTTGTTATAGTATTATATGAACAAATTTGAGAAGTATTCTGCAAAATCACTAATGGAGACACAAATCTCACCAAGCCACTTTTGTCCTTGGGTTGCAGCCCTAAAAATTTAAGTTCTCTATTGTTAAGAACCCACCTGCCACCATGGAGGACATGTTGTATAAGCCCTTCAAAGTACATAAGTGTTGAGAAATTCATCAAGAAAGCCAAACAGCTCACTTTGCCTTCCATTGTTTCGGAAGGAGGAAAACAAAATCTTTGGAGTTCTACTCTAGCTCCTCATTCTTAGAACCAAATAGGGACATTTTTTTTTTGTTGGGGAGGTTCATACCTTCAACCTCTCCACTCCAGCCAAAGTAGACTTGCTTTGCTTCGTCTGAATGGATACCAAGATGAACCTCTACCTTCTATTCGAGCCAACCTTTCAAGGCAATTATGTCCTTAATTTAAACAGGGAGTATTTCGTATGACTCTCTCATTTGTGCAAGAACTCCAGGATCTTGGAAAAGCCTTGATTCTTTAAACTTGACATCTAAGAATTTCGAGCTTTTAAGGCTTTCCCAAAGAAATTCATCAAAGAAGGCAACCTAAAATAGTATTTGGTATGCCGTTGAGCTGACGTGCAACATGTTGATGCACTCCTTTCCATGCCAAGGTTCGGAACAAAAATAATTATGATGATGTAATTCATTGTCAAAAGTGTTAGTGTCAAGGCAAAACCAAAAACAAACATCAAAGACTTAGTATAAGGTACATGCCTATAATTCTCTCTCATTCTCATTCTTGTATTATTTGATAATGATGTGCCAGTTTATTGAATCATCTTCGAAAACACTATTGTTATCCAAGTAATCATCAACCACTTTTAGGTGCTCCATATCCTGATTGACATCTACTTGAGATCTGTTTGGGGCAGCTGGGGCTTATTAATAAGTTGCTGATAAGCAGTTGCCACAAATAAGCTGCTGAGCATTAGCTGATCCGGATAAGTTGATTGGTTGTTTTATTTGTGCGATTAGAAAACAACTGTTTTTTAGTTGTTTCTGAATAAATGACTATTCTGTCTCTGTGCAGTAATATTGTTTGCAACAAAACTATCATAGCAATATATTTGATGCTTGAAAAACAAAAAATCACTTCGGAGCAATACAAAAAATAAGATATACATTTTACTTAATAGTGAGTATTAAGATTGCTAAAAAAGAAAACTATTAAAATTGCAATTAAAAATTTGATAATATTAATTTTAAAATGCTGACGACGTATGTCACTAGCTACGTGTTCCTCCAGGGATACCATTTAACCTTGATCACTATCGGCAGTGGAATCTGTCGGACTGTTTGTCCACCGTAAGAAGTCACATTTCTCTGTGATGCTCCGATGGCACCTGCAGAACTGTCTCCCGTAATTGTGTCCGATGTGATGTCAGTAGGTAAGTCTGTAGTATCAGTGGTAGAGCAATCTTCAGATCCCTGAAATCCTAGAGCTTATCTTCCCAAAAAGATTAAAAAAAACCCATTAGCCATGATAAAAAATGAAATTCATAAAAAAATATACTAGAAATGGAAATAAACTAAAATTGTATTGAATAAAAAAACATAAATTGATAAAAAAAATTAATTAATTACAATATTGTGCAGGTGTGACGTCTCAGAGAACTCACTGCTCAAACCAATGAATTTGTCACTAAAAGGAGATTGTAGACTTTGTAAAAAAATGGGTTCTTGGTTGTCTTGACCCACGTAAAATCAGTCTCCTGTGTCACATCTGCATATTACAAAAAAAAAATCATCCAAAAGGTCCTCATAAACCGCTGCACTGAAAAGAAGAGAGGAACTTGGTTGCCTTCATTAGAATTTCACATATGGTATTAACTGACAACGACTAACATGTCATCCAGAACTCATAAAGTCAAATATCTCATCATGAATCTCTCAAACCCATTAAAAAAAATAAATGAAATGCAAATAAAAAAAAAATGGCAAACACCGTGAAAATTGCAAAGTAAAATATCAATAATACAACATAAAATAAATATAGACTTTATGAAATAAAAAAGTCATCCAATCAAACATCTAAAAATGGAACTTGTAAACCACTCTCTCAATTCAATCATTTTCGCGGCACCTTCGCCATCCTCGGTGTGACCTTCCTATGATTCTACTTCTGGTTGTGATATAAATTGTTCTACGTGATATTCATATGCTTTCGACCGGACCCATAAGTGGTCATCGGCAGTCATGTTGTAATCTACATCAGCTCGAGAATTGATGTTGTTAAATGTAGTTGTGGAGCGTCATTGCAGCCACAACAATATGAACCTGTTTCGGAGATGGATACGTCGGCATATCACGCAGTATGATTCATTTCTTCTTCCACACTCCAAACGTTCTTTCAATTATGTCGCGTAAGGAGTCTCTTTCTTTAATATTTCCTTTCTGCCTCGAGCAACACCGCTGGATCTTTTGAAATCACGAATGTGATATTTTGTATCAAGAAATGACTTTAGATATCCCCTCTGTAAGAGATATTTAACATCGAACAAGTAATACTGACATGTCCCAAATACAATAATGATTGTGGTTGATAACTTAACAAAACTGGAGGCGGGTGAGGGAAGCCGTGCCTTTGGTTTTTTTGTCGC